GCATTTTGTTAAAACCGCTTATTATGTCACTATTTGTTAATAAAGGTACCAATCTTGAAATCAAAATTTTGACCACTTATCTTTGACCACTGCATAAATTCGCCTCAGCTGTGTGCGAAAGTCAGAATTACGTTTTTACCACCTATGACATTCCCATGTTATTTTGCACGATTGTAGTTGCCAGCTTTATAATTTACCGTATTTCGTTTAACTCGCTTATTATGTGACTATTTGTTAGTAAAGATTCCTATCTTGAAATCAAAAGTTTGACCACTTACCGACTACCTAGATTGGTCAAACTTCAACTGGAACTCATTATCTGATTACAGTATAAGTTTCAATCATTTTAGGGCGAATAAAAGCAGAGTCTATCGTCATTGTTATAGTTGAATTAAATATTGCGTGGCAAATCAAGCTCTTGACTACTTTCTGACATAAACAAACACAAAAACGTACTAATTAATTGGTGAGCGGGAAATCTAGAGCAGGATTAAAAAGACATAGTAATTTACCATTTCATAATTAGGACATAGTAATTTACCAAGACATAGTAATACCATAGTAATTTACCATAGGACATAGTAATTTACCATAGTAATTAAGACATAGTAATTTACCAAGATTTCTAAATTTTGCAAGCGAAAAGAAATTTCATGCAAAAATGCATGCTACCTTTTCCACTTGTAAAAGGCATGAAATAAAACACTTCTGTAGAAAGGAAGAAAGCTTGGAAATTGAAGGGTTTGTCCGGCGCGTTTTTTACATTTAGAAAACTAGCTGTAGAGAGTTTTAATTGCATATTTAAATATTACGCATATAAAACTCTTACTAATATTATAAAAAATAATTTGTACAAGTTTCTTTCACGATATTCGCCATAATGCGTGAGATTAATCTTCGGCATTTTCGAATGTTACAAATCTTAAGATTATACCTTAAAGCGCTTTAGTTCAGCGTTAGAATTACTGACTTCCTGACCCTTAGCACAGTGATTTATGTATCAATGATTGGTAAGATCTAATACCGGAAAATTTGTAGAAGTTATGGAGGGCGGATCTGGAGAAATGATATTATGTTGCTCATTTTGCCGCGAGAAATCTTAACGACCTCTGCCGCAGTTCAACGTCCTCGCATTCTAAACATAACGAAAAGAAAAAAAATAGATACCTAATTTCGAGGTAAAAAAAATAAGAATGTAATCTACACAGTTTCAATTCAAGTTCAATGTCACCCATACTAGGTATTAATGTTCCAGAAAAAAAAGGAAGTTTGGAATGTTATTATTCCATTGAGAGAGTTTAGAGAAAAGATTTACGGTTGAAAACAACAAGATCGATAGGTTCGGACCCGGGCTATTAGGCGAGATTCAACGCCATGAGATGGCATGATGCAATTCGACGGTGATTATAGGTATTACAAACTACAAAGTATCAGGCGATGCTCAATCCTGACGATTCGTTGCAAGCAGGAAGGGTGACTGTTTATTGACACAAAGTGAGCCTTAGTAAGGGTTAAACGAGGTTTAATTTGTGAAACCTGGTTGCTTGGTGTAGTTTGAACTTTTTTATTCTTTATTTTGTGTAAAATGTGTGTTGTGTGTAATGATTCGGGTCTGATTAAAACAGAATTGCACTAAATAAAAAAGTCTATATCGAATTACGGAAAAACGTAATGGCATTTTGCGAGCAGCATCCGTACAAACTGTATACCGTAATTTTTACAGTAATATATATATATAAGAACAGATTATGTAATTAACAAAAACAAATGATGGTTTCGGTATAACAAGCGCAATCAAGAGTGCGGAAAAAAAACTTCAGGAATACGTTATTTCAATATAAAATAAATTAGAAAATCATGTAAGCATGAATAATGTATAGTTAACAGAAACAAGCCATGGTTTTCGTATAACTACAAGTACCATCATTAGTGCTAAAAACCAGTGCAGGAATAAGTTACTTCAATATTAAGTAAAATGGAAGAAAAAAAGTTTAAGCACATAATTGAGGTCTTATAGTATTAGTTGTAGCGCTTAGCGCTCACAGGATTAAGTATTGGGAGAAGTTGACCTTCTGGACTTTTTGATAGAATACCTCAATGGAGAGGAAAACCCTGAAAACTTCTCCAGGTTAGCATGACTGGAAGATGACTTTTTTTTCTTCTTTCCTCCAATCCCTGAGCATGTACCTAGGTCATACAAAACCCTTAACCATATAGCCCAGGACTTGGCCTGACTGGAAGGGGACTCTAACCCATGATCTGTCTTCCTCTGAGGATATTTTGCGTCAGCACTGTGGTCAGTGCGAGCCAAGTACAGAATTCCTATCAACCAGCCAGTTCATATTTTATATTTTATAACCATCGTTGAACAACCGACCCAATTTTATGGGTTTACGACTGCTAACATTCAACTCCGTAGCCTTGTAATTTTGAACGCAATCCAGAAGACAAGGGAACTCCTGGAGCGAGTATTGGGAGAAATTTGTCATCGTGGAGGAACTAACTCGGAATGGAACTAACCCGCATTTGCCTTACATGGAGAGGAAGACCACGAGAACCTCCCACGGTTAGCCTGACTGTAAGGGAACTCTAACCCATGATCCGTCTACCACTGAGGATATTTCACATCAGCACTGTGGTAACTGCAAACCGGATGCGGAATTCGTATCGACAGGGATTCGAACCCGGTTCGCCTCACTGGAAGGCGAGCGCTCTATCTCCTGAGCCATCGCGGCTCAACCAGCCAGTTAAAAGAAACAGACGATTGTTTTGGTACAGCTACAAGTACAATCACTAGTGATGAAAAAAAGTACAAAATTCATTATTTTAAATTGTGATGCATGAAAGTTTTTTAGCTTCACATGCGACAAAAAATATTGTCTTAAAATGTAAAAAATCTGTTCAAAAATATTGTGAAATAGAAATTAAAATAGAAGTTTAATGTGTAACAAGGTTTCCCTTCAAAACTAGATAGCAAAGTGAAAAGTTTTTCCAATAGATAGCTCAACTCAAATCAGTATTACTATATAACTAAGAATAATAAACGTGTTTATAATTTTTAGTTACATCGAAACACTGATTTAAGTTATCTATAATTAATTCAAAAATCGGTCTTTGAAAACACACCTGTTTCATTCATAGATCCCTTCCCACAGACAAAAGTTATTGCAATGTTGATTTGAAATTAAGTGATGACACATAATTGGTCACGTCTTAATTTTATCATCATCGACTCAATTAGTCACTACCGATAAAAAGAAACAAACTGAAATTACAGAGTCAAGGTTTTGACCACGTGTGGCGGTCAAAGATCACGTGTGTGTGTTTTATTTTCTTTCTCAATACAATATCAACAATGTTTCTTTGAAAAAAAAGCTTGACTGGGGAAAGCAATAAAGGGTCTTTTTGACTTTTTTTTTATGCAAAACTATTAACTATGTCAAGGTTAAGGAGGTCAACCTACAAGCTCCGAACTTGATGAGTTTGTGTTAGCTTTAAGCATAAAAGTTAATGATGATCTTAAATTATAAAGGGTCAATAACATTTGACTGGGAGGGTTGAAATTATAAAAAGATGAGCTTTATATCCTTTATCATTGTCTTTCACGATCTATTGTGTCTAATTTTGTATGAAAATTATGCCTTTCACTTTCAAATTCAAATGCTATTAAACGTTAATTTTCGTGCGATTAGGAGGTAGTTTTTCCTTTCCCTCACAGAGAAAAGAAAATTACGTTAATTCATTTTTAGTTGAGGAGATTTCTTAAGTAGTTAATTATTTTCAAAGGTAGTTAATAGTTTTTTTATAATTTTATTGTAAAGTTATTTCGCATCGTGATACTTTGTATTTCTTTTTATGCATTAATTCATAGTTTTTGGGGGGGGGCATTAAGACATTATTTTGCAGATGAATGGAATTAAAGAAACAAATAGAACTGTTATTGCGTTTTATAAAGTAAATAAAGTTATTTGTTTTACCCAATTTATCACTCATTATACAATTAGTCGTTTTTTTCTCACTCTGTAATTAATTTATTGCATTCATGAACTCAAATAGATAATTTTCTCTTTCACTGATTTCACCATTTAACCCATACATAAAATAATAACTCTTATTGTCTTCCTCATTCATTAAATTAATCAATAATCTTACTCATTCAATACTTTAATCTTAATAATTCATTTTCTCATTAGTTTATTTTCTTCATTATCATTTAATGTAATTGTCTTGCTCCTATTTATTTATTATTCCTTCGCTCATTTTTTTATTCCTTTAATTAATCAAAAATTAAATTTATCTCACCTTTATTCTAAAAATCAGTCTATAACTCAGTTAACTTACTCATTTATTCATACTTCATTAATTTAACGTTAAGTTTAAACACTTATTCATTTTTATTTCTTATCTTCTTCTTTTAATTTCGAGCCTACCAGACGTGATATAGTTTCTTTTTTTTTAAATTAAACAAAATCTTATGCGTACAAAATATCTCACGTTGAAATGCAGTAAATAGAAATCGTATTTTTGTATTATTTTTCACGTTACACTGTAAATTCCAGTACTCGAGGTGCCAGTAATTTTTACTGTAAAATACATTTTTATCGTAAAATTTTACAGAACGAAAAGTTTGATGTACTGTATTTCTTTTATGTAATATTTACTGTAAAATCACTGAATCATGTTAATTGAATAAATATTACTATAAAAATTTTACGGATTCAGCACTCAAGGCGCCAGTATATATATATATATGNACAAAAATGTCAGTTAATAACATCATCATATATATATATATAATTTTTTTTTTCGTGATTTGATCAGGAACTTTTTACAATTTAAGAGTTTTTTCGAAACTAGTTTTTAGATAAATCACAAAAAATTCATCAAGAATTGAATGTATAATAATTTAAATCAACTAGCAACAAACAATCATTTTAAATTTATATTGCTTTAGGGACTTTTTGTTTGTAGTAATGTACTGAAATTTTTTTTCCTTGCAGCACCATATGAGGAAGTTCCTGTCAATTTAAGCCATAGTGATAGAGGTAAGCTTTTTGCAATCATTTTCTTACATAAGTCAAAGGACAACAAAATAGCTAATAATTCAATCAAAATTGAAATAGGTTTTAAGCAAAATGGTTTATCAATTAGGAAAGGATCACTTCTTTATCATTTATTGGGTAACAAAACTAAAAAAGAGTTTTAAAATTTTTAATTAAAAATGATTAATGATGGTTTCAATTCATGTCCAAAATAATTTTACTTCTTTAAAAAATTAGAAATGAACTTGAATGAAAAAAAAGTGCACAATTTTAAAAAGTGAAAAATCTCTTTATACTAAACAAGCACATACAATTATTTTCTCTCTATAGACAAATAATTGTACGTGCATGTTAGAGACAATTAGAGAGAAAGCTAATTTAATAGTAAACTAATTAAACTATTCACTTACGAAGATTTCAATATTTATCACGACGATGTGGTACTAGATACTTTAATGATGAATTTGCAATTAAATAGAGTGCAAATTGTAGTGATTATATAAGTAATTATTGGTAGGAAAAATAAATCCAATCTTTCTCTTCTAAAAGAGTTGAATTTAGTTCAATATGATTCCCGAAAACCAAAATTCTAATATTAAATATAAGAAAACTTTTCGTATGAACCGAGGATCCGAAAATTAAAATTATATAAAAATTATATTCGCTTAAAAAGTTCTAGAGACGTGGTGAAATATACAGGAAATAAAGTTAACATTAAGGAGTCCAAACTTTGGATCGTTCTCCTTACCAAACTATGGGGACCCTATTTCCCAGATTCCGGCTAACCCCTATACCTTATGGGTCAGAATTCTGAATTTTTGAATTCGCCTACTGTATACTATATTCTTAATGTCAGTTTTATGACAGATTAATTATGGGTACATCCATATCAGAACATTTATTCTATATCTGTATAGTTTAAGTTTTAAAAACAAATGTTTTTTTTTATTTCCAATGAGCTGCACAATCAGTCTTCCCGATGAGCAGATCTAGTGCGTTCTCCTAGGTGGTATCCACTCTTTCAGGACCACCACAATGGGTGAGATACCGATGGCCAAGTTAATTTTGACGTCTAGTTTCTGCCACACTAGATGGCAGCACCGAGACTCTATTTGGATGCTTAAGTGCTTAAAAACTAATGCAGTAGTAACAAATAATGTAAATTAAATGCAGTTAAAATAATAACTATTGTTTTTAATTTCCAGGCTGTTATTATATGAATAAGCTATATCCAAGTGGAGAAGAAATAATGACAAACGAGCCATGTCTGAATTGCACGTGCCTAGGAAATACGCTAATGTGCTATCTAAGGATATGCCCCTACGTCAAACCACTAGGAGAAGACTGTAGAATGGAGAGGCACGTAGGCGAATGTTGCCCACAATTTTGGTGCCCTGAAGGTAAGGTTAAAACTTGCTATGTACTATGTACTCTGCTGTTATTACTTTGTTTTTATCACTAATATTACTTTGATATCACAACTGTTAGTACTTTTTTTGATTTGATATTACTACGGCTACTACTTTGTCATCACTGTTAACACTGTTTCATATTATTACTACTGGTCCCTTGTTGTTTTATTGAAACTAGCATTTTTTACTTTGATATTATATACCATTGAACGTAAGTTTGTTATAACTTTACAATACTGACACATAAATTTTAAAAAAATCCCATTATCCTATATCTTGAGCCAATTTGTATTAAAAACTCATTCCAAATCAATGCAAGATTTACAGTTTAAACGTTAATTTGTATTATTAACTCTCACAATCATTAAACTGTGAGACTAAATAACGTATGATTTGTATTTCCTCATACACGAAACAAAATAAAGCATACACGGTTAAAAAAATTAGCGTAAAAAGTACCGGCACTGAAAGTACCGTAAAATCCATACCATAACCATTTACCGGACATTTAAATTGTAAAATGTTACGAAACAAAAAAGAAATCTGATGTACCATAGTTATTATACAGTAATATTTACTGTAAAATCCCTTGTTTGTTGCAATTAAATAAATATTACTGTAAAAATACGGTAATATTTACCGTAATTTTTACAGTAATATTGACTGTAATAAAACAGAATTGATGTAATTAAATAAATATCACTGTAAAAATTACGGTACAAAATTTGACGATAAAATGGATTTTACGGAGGCTGCACTCAGGTTGCCAGTACTTTTTACCGTAATTGGATCCTGAATTTTTTTTACAGTTTAGACTTTAAGACTGATTTACTCAAATTCACAAAAATGTCAGTTAATAACATCATCAACACAGTTTTGAAGCAGAACTGCTTTTCAATAACAATTTATATTCACTTTAGAGTTTGAGCTATTTTCTCGTTTTCGTAAACAGTAAAAAAATTCCATCAACACCGTTCACTTGCATAATTATATGAAAATATCGACAGCATTATTTCGAAGAAAAAGAAATCTCAGGGCTGTTATTTTTATATTCATCTCGAAAGGTAATTACATAGACATGCTGAATGCTTGCCGTGTCAGTTTGAATTCTGGGATTTAGTTGTATCTAAAGCCTGCCCCACCGAGGGAAGTAAGTGTGACTGATCACTTTGTTTATGCACAACAAACTGTAATTCAAGTGCACTAACTTCATATTTTTGGTTTATTCAAAAACAGATTATAGTTTCTCATTTCTGAGAATTCTCACTCAAATGTGCTCTTCTAAAACTAGTTTCTTTGATTGACAAGCAGTATTACCTATTTTAACTTTTTTTTTAAAAAAAAAGCTATTAAACAAAGCAAAAAATTAACAGTTGGCAATAGTTTCAGCACAACCTCGAGGCTAGGTAATTGCAATTGCTGTATACTCGGTTTTAGAAATAGTGGTACGTTTTCAATTTGCTGCAATCTTAATGAGGGACAGACGTACATCATATTACCTTACCAATTATTTCTTCTTTAACTTCGTAACGAAAAATTAGGAGTAATCTTGAACAAGGTAAAAGTTTTTGAAAAAGGTACACTTATATTTATTTCTAATTTTTCTCAAAACAAATAGCTTTTGAAAATATTAGGTCAGCAACTAAATTCCCGACTTTTTTTAAAAATTTTAACATTTTGCATGTCATTAAATGTTTTTCGCCTAATTTTTCAGATCATTTAAAAGTAGATGTCTTGTTTAACCGAAATCTATATTTTTGTTTGTTTGTTCGAGTTAATTTATGTTGTTTTTCAGAACATTGAAATGGAGTGTCTTGTTGTGAAACGGGACATTTTCGACACCTCCTTCTCTTTGCTCTAAAACAAAGTTCTATGGTCGCAAAAGCTGCTGGTGACATTTGTGTATATCCATTGTCGAAAGAACCTCTCGTAATTTCCATGCCAAGTTTAAAAATGGAAGTTTGACCTCAAAAGACGCATCTTATTTTGACTTTCAGCAGTAGCGCAACTGCCCCCCCCCCAGCTAGTTACACCACTGCTGAAAGCTAAAGCATGATGCAAAAAGAGACGTGCCCCGGGCGCAGCTGTAGTTGCGCGCCAAATTCAGGAAAAATGAATTCTAGAATAAAATATTTTTCTTCATATGAAACTTATGGGAAGGCAACTTATGATTTGTTTTTCAGATTTACTTAAAAATTGAAATGAATGGCTATTAATATTATACAATAGTTTGCTCTGCACGTAGGCTTTCTTTTTAAAAATTATTTTTGACAAATCGGGACATATTGAATAAAAAATAAAAATGCTTATCAATTAATCGATCAAAAACATCTGAGTGTAACAGAAACTACATTAATAACATACTCTTTTGATTTTTAAAAAGAAATTGAATTAAAATTTATGAATTTAACGCAAAAACTGAGGTTGCCCCAGGCGCTTTAAATCCTAGCTACGCCTCTAGCTTTCATTTGAGGTCGATGAAGAACGATTAAACCTACTTTTGCTCGAAATTCAAATGCAAATAGCACGAAAACTAGTGGAGAAAATTGAATGCTTTAAGCTTTAAAGTTCTTCTTTAATTGTCAACTCAATATTTAAATGATTCGATCTTCTTAGAATATTATATAACTTCCTTGTAACAATTCCTTTTTCTTTACAGTTTCTTCTCGAAATACAACGGAAAAACCAGACGAAGGCACTAAAGGTAAATAATATTTATTTCAATGAATACAATCACGTAACAAAAAATACTAACTTCTTACCAAGTCTGCTAACAATCTAGTTGTTTTTTTGACATTGGAACTGTGAGAAAAATAAAACACAGATCTGGAGATAGAAACTTGTAATATAAATACTCAGATTTAAATATATATTAAAGAGAAAAAAAACTCTCCGTTTTGACTACTAACCGACTGTTGGGGCATCAAGGTAAAAGTGTTTTGCATAATATTCCATTGTCGCGAACATTCTCGTCGAAGAATAATTGCTCTGAACACAACTTTCAAAACGGTATTTTACCTTCAACTGATAGAAAAAGAACGTTTTCAAAAAAACAACAAATGAGTGGATAGGAGCAGGTGATGATTTTTGTTTCGTTTAATATGCATGCAAAAAAAGAACGATTTATATGGTGTGTTTTGTGAAAATGGCAGATTCGAAATTATTTTTAACGGGCCGCATTATGCAATTTCCTTTCTTCTTCTTTTTCAAGAAAGAGAATATTTGCTTGTTTTTATGACTAGGAATTTTATGATTATTATTCAGAAATTGTAACACATTCAGTTATTTTTTTTTCCGCAATATGAAATGCATTGACTAAAAAACTAAAAATTCTTTTATTCCTCTTTTTTTTTTAAAAAAAAATCTCCTATTTGTTAACATAAATTCCTAAGAGATATAGCATTTAGAAACACTTTCCCTCTTTCTGTAGAACAATATGCTAAACGCAACATTTAATGTTATTATAATCAGCTAATTACTGTTGTTTAAGGCCTGCAAGGCCATTATCTACAAATTAAATATTTATTTTTCCAATGGCATATTAAATGTTATGTAATAAATTTACAAATAAAATAAATTTTTACTATTTACAAATAAATATATCTAAAATATAAGGGCAAATTAATCCGGTACCCCACTATAATAATGATACAACGATACAGATAATAGGAGACAATAATCTCTAATAGACTGCGATAGACTCTAATAGAATTCATTAAATTCTATTATATGATATGATGATCTTTTTTACATGCATTAACTGTGCTTTCAAACTATTAATATGATTAAATGAAACTAAATCCGTCTAGAACATGCACTTTTATTGTTATAATTATAAAAGAACAGCACATTTTTTTTCTATTTAAATTTGGAAATAATTAGATAAAATGCGTATTTAACATATAAAAATTTGCATATATTAAGCAGATTTTTTTTTAAATTGTACTTTTTTGGTACGCTTTGCCGGGCACGAGGGAAAAGTTGACAAAAAATATAGAACTTCGTCACCTTTTTTTTAATGTTTTTTTTATTTTATTTATTTTTTAAACAGATAAACATTAAATAAAATGAAAAAAATGAAAAAAAAAGTTAAGGAAAAAATTTATTAACCGAAAAGTAGCAAAAAGGATTTGCAAAAAAAAAACAAGAAAAGAAAGGAGAGAAAAACTGTGATACATATCTTCAAATACATGTTTTGAAGAAAAGAAATAACTACAAAAAATTACTATTTTTTTCTACTTCATTTAATTTAAAGCAATATTTTTAATAAAAAAAATCTTTCTATGCCAATTACTATTCATCTCTGTACTGATTGTAATATGAACAATTTAAGCAGATGATAACGATTTTTGATGAATAATTTTCTACTTAAAAACAGAGACATAATTGAATAGCCATCGGAGGATGAAATCAAATACGTCAACATGTAAAATCATTGTTCTAAACGAGTTCGTCTCATGATGTTAACAAACTACAGTTATGTTCAAACTAAAATGATCAGCCAATTGTGTTCCCAAATGCTTCATGCTACTCTGAATTCATTTATCTTGTAATTCTTTATCGCTGATGATAATTTTCATGGTTGAAAAAAAATCATAGTTCTTTTTAAATGCTTTAAAATATTCACATTTATTTTAATGGAAAGGTTAATTACAAATAAAAGACAAATTTATAAGTAAATAGAGTGGTGTCAATCTATTTATTTATAGATAAATTATTAAGCACTAAAGAAATTGACAATTTAATATGTTTCTTTGTTTTTTTATCACTATTAACATATTATTTAGTATCTATGTTATCGGCAAAGTATGAAACGTCAGCATTCTATAAAATGCCTAGGCATTGTATATAATGCCGGATGTTTTCAGGTAAGGTATGAAATATGAGAAGTATTACATACTTTCCCTAGGTATTGTATATAATACCTAGTCATTCTGTAGAATGACAAATGCTATTTAGGCAAAGTATGGAGAAAACGTCCTGATGAGGTTATTATGTAAGTGATGTGCATCCCTCAAAAATAAAAATTTTATTCTGAAAAAATAATGAGAGTGCCATTAAAAAAATTTTATTCAAAATGCGTAAGGAAAAATGAAAGCTGTACAAAACATAATTTATGCCTTTCTTATTAAGGGAAACAAAATTTTCGTATAAAAAGCTCACATTTAAGTCACAATTATTTTCAGTTTAAAAACAAATATTGTACAAAATATCCATTTCATCATTTCATCACCATGGCCACAGAAGATTTTCTACTTTGCCGGTTTCTAATTTGGCATTCTATAGAATGCCTAGGAAATGTGTGAAGTATAAATCATTTCATACATTGCGGCTAGTTTTAGTGATTAAATACAATGCCTAGGCATTCTATAGAATGCCGGATTTCAAACTTTACCGGTAGCATATATATATATATATA